AAAAAAAAAACACACACACACAATGTACTGTGGGCTCAGGATTCCCGCCCATCTGCTATCTCTGGACAACTGTCTAGGAAACTGTCTGAAATAAAACTGCATGACTCAATGAAAGAATCACATTGTGCCATACAGTAAACTGTATATTTTGGGTCATCTGTGTCTCTTCAGATAATATTTTTTTAAAGGAGAAAAATAATCATAGCCTTCTTATAAGAAATTAAAGCTCTTTCACTTATATCAGTATTAAAACATTTTTGACAATATGATTCTAAAAACTATACATTATAAATGCCTACTGAATTAAAGTCCTTCACAACCATAATTTTAAGTAGATGAAATAAAACTTTTTCTGTTAGTGTATTTTTTTTCATATAAGTAGAATATGAATTTCAAACCAGAAGTTATTCCCAGGGTGAAATTATGATTATGACAATATCTGATTCAACTCTGATATAATCTAACCATCAAGATTAGAACAACTCAATTATCTCTAACATTGTTTTCTTTAAAAACTGTTAATTATACTAATGTTTTATGTATTGACTTAAGCATTTGTACTTACCAACTGCACTTTGCTTTCCCATCTGAGAAAGAAAATCTCTTCCTTAAAAAAATTTACAGAATATGCTACATTATTATAAGTCATAAATAATCATGCTTGATAAATATAACTATACTTGATGTTAAATTATCAAAGCTAAGGAAAATACCTTGAAATGCAAAGGAATATCTGATGACAGTTCAGAGAAAAAATATAATTGTTTAAAAAGTATCTCTTTAATTAAAAGGATAGAAATACCCAACTTGTCCACAGCCACACTACCTTGAATGTGCCTAGTCTTGGAGGCTAAGCAGGGTTGGGCTTGGTTAGTTCTTGGATGGGAGAAATACTCAATTCTTCCTTAAATAATTATCTCCTCTATAAAATACTTAGAAAATAGTCAAACCTCAACAAAATATTCAGGATAGTTTTTCAGTTCCATCAGTATTGCAATTTGTGCTCATTTTATCATACTGCCTCATAACTTAGATTTATTCCTTTTCAAGCCCTAAGTATTATATGTATAATAAGCTTTTTTTCTGTAGAGACAGAGTCTCACTTTTTCGCCCTTGGTAGACTGCAGTGGAGTTGCTGAGCAACCTCCAACTCCTGGGCTTGGGTGATTCTTCTGCCTCAGCCTCCCAAGTAGCTGGGACTACAGGCACCCGCCACAACGCCCAGCTATTTTTTGTTGCAGTTTGGCTGGGGCTGGGTTTGCACCTGCCACCCTCGGTATATGGGGCTGGCGCCCTACTCACTGAGCCACAGGCGCCTCCCAATAAGCTTTTTTAAAAGAATTATCAATAAGCCTCTGCACATAATCCCAAAGTAAGGAGATGACATTTGTGTTATGGACTTGTATGAGAATGCTTAGTCGGGTCAGTTTTAAAAAAAAAAAGAATTATTCCCTCAAAAAAAGTGAAAGTAGACCTATCATTTGAACTAGGAGTCTCACAGTTGAGTATCTACCCAAAGGAAAAGTCATTTTATCAAAAAGACACCTGTACTTGCAATGTTTATTATATTTACTATATACTTTGATATACCTTCTATGTTTATTATCCAATTCAATACACAATTTATACAATTTCAAAGACACATAAACAACCTAAGTGCCCATCAATTCATGAATGGATTAACAAAATGTGGTATATGTATACCAAGGGGTACTATTTAGCCACAAAAAGGATAAATTAATGCCTTTGCAACAATTTTGGATGGAACTAGAGACCATTACCCTAAGTGAAGTATTTAAAGAATGGAAAAACAAAATACCTTGTGTACTCACTATTAAATTAGAGCTAACTGAGGAGCACACATGTGCACAGAGGAAATAAATAAAAATCAGTGAAAATCAAGCATGATTAGGGTGGGGGAGAATGGGATGGGTGAAAACCTACCTAATAGGTCCAATGAATGCTATCTGAATGATAGGCACACTTACAACTGTGATTCAAGAATTATAAAAGTGATCCATCTATGTAACCAAAAGCATAGTTTTTTGAAATAAAGAATTGCTCTCTAAAAATATTATCTTGAAATTAAAAATAGATGCATATAATAGAAGTAATCTAATTTAGAAAGCCCCAATGACTCAAAAAGATAAGTTACCTTGTATCAAGAAATGGCCAGTTCTGTTCCAGGCTGGAGCAAGTCTAACTATGAATGAATATGAGAGGCAGTGTTGAAGAATTACTGGAATTACTCTCTCTGGAGCCTCCATCTAAAAAATATTAAAGGAAGAAATATTCGCAAATTTTAAGTTATTTCTATGTCCCTATAAACTAAAAAGAAGTGACAGCCTGTCTTTAGACCAATACCAAACAAAATGAGCTATTTTGGATAAAAATTACAGTAATTGCAGTTATCTAATGCCATCTTATTTTAAAGTTAAAGAACTGCTAAAATATATCCACTTCAAAATACTACTACTATCATGCTATTATGGCCAAATTCTTCCTCCTTACCCTGGACCACTAAGTCTAAATCTTGAGAACTCTTGTGCTAAGAACTTTCAACTTAACTTTACATCCTGGTCCACACAGAGGACTCCAGAATGGAAAGATCTTGCAGTATTTCTCAGCATGGTTCAGTCTAGTTCACATCACAAAATAAATATTTATGTGGCACACATGCAATCAATAGAGTAGCTCTATTTGAATAGAATTTTAAAAATTAAGACTTTCACTTCTGACCAATAAATAATAGAAACCAGATCCATTCTCCTCCTTGAAGTATCTACAAACTTGGCTATATGAACTTATATGAAACAATGGTTTGCAAGATATTGTACATCACATGACAAGAAAGAGTGATCCCTAAGAGATGGGAAACCAACAAGATGAGCCCTGGGATTTCTCCAGCTTCTTGATTTTAGAGAACCTCCAGGCTACAGCGCAGGGAGGGGGAATCAAGGAAGTCTGGTAATCTCCCTGAATTGCGGAGGCAGAGCTGAGGGTCTACGAAGGCCAATGAAGCTAGAGTTTTCAGGGTCACAGGGCTGGAGAGGAAAGAGCTACACAGAAAGCAAACTCAGGAGATCAGCAGAGGGCTCCTCTTAAATACTCAGCTGAGCAGATTAGCACATACACATGAGGAAAAAGTGCTCAAGGTTAAGACAAGGGCCAAGGTTATTTGCTGCAAAAACATCTCTGAAAATATAGTCCATGAAGAAAAAAAACAAAAAGGCTGCCACTGCTTTGTGAAAAAAACATGCAGAAATGTGAGAGCGCCAAGGTGAACTGTCTCTTACTATTATCCACCCCACATTTCTAAACTACTTTGACTTCAGGTGAGTGTTTCCAGGACATAACTCAATAACCTGTTGGCAAGGGAGGGGACCACATCTGTTTCTCATTTGGGAATCTAATTATGGCTACTACCATTAGGACTTCAAGGAGCAGGATGAAGTCAACCTGCAATGTTGACCTTAAATATGGCTCTAGGGGCCCAGACCCAAGGAGCTAAGCAAATTCCATAAATCCAGACTGGGCATAGTGGCTCATGCTTATAATCCTAGCACTCTGAAAACCCGAGACAGGTGGATTGCTTGGCTCAGGAGATTGAGACCAGCCTGAGCAAGAGTAAAACCCTTTCTCTACTAAAAGAGAGGGGAAAAAACCCCCAAAAAACTAGCAGGGGGCATGGAGGCACATTCCTTAGTCCCAGCTACTCAGGAGGCTGAGATAAGAGGATCCCTTGAACCTAGGAGTTTGAGGTTGCTGTGAGCTACGATGATGCAACTGCATTCTATCAAGGGTGACAAAAAAGAAAAAAAAAAAGGAATCCATAAACCCGAGGTCTTCCTTAGAAAACCCTGTGGCTTTCTCCTTAATTTCTGTATTGACTTTGTCCTCGGCCTGAAGAATTCTCTATATTTATCAGGATATGTCAGCACAAATTCCGCCTTGACATGCAAGGAAGAAGTCTGGGGCAATCCTATCATCCATTAACTATGCTGGTTGGTGACCTGAACACCTGACAGGACAACAATGGTGTCATTTATTACTTCAACTAAAGTCAGTGACAAATTCTCTACCACCTTTTCTATTTGGGTGACTCCTGTTATAGGAAAAAGTACTTCCCCTTAGGGAGGAAGAAGAGGAGGAATAGGAAGAAGAGGAGGAGAAAGAGGCAGAAACACACGTTACCAATATCAGGAAGGAAAGAAGTGACATCACTAAACCACTACAGATTCTGCTTCAAAGGAAGATAAGGGAATATTATAAGGAACTTTATGCCAACAATTAGACAACTCTACTAAATAAATTAAAATTATAGTTAAAAATCTCAGATGGCATTATTGGTAAATTTTACCAAGTATTTATTAAAGAAATAACAAAAATTCCACACAAACTCTTCCAAAAACTTGAAAAGGTAGAGATTCTTTCCCTGCTCAAAAATTCCTGAGGGCAGAGACTTCATCTGGTTCCCATTTTTATCTCCAGAAATAAGTTGAGTGCTTACATAGTATAGATATTCAAAAATATCTGTTGATTATGATTACTGTTATATGAAAAGTAGCCATATAGGCTTGGCACCTGTAGCTTAGTGGCTAGGGCACCAGACACATACATCAGAGCTGGCGGGTATGAATCCAGCCTGGGCCTGCCAGGCCCACGACAACTGCAACAACAACAAAAAATAGTTGGGCGTTGTGGGGGAGGCCTGTAGTCCCAGCTACTTGGGTGACTAAGGCAAGAAAATCACTTAAGCCCAAGAATTTGAGGTTGCTGTGAGCTGTGATGCCACAACACTCTACCCAGGGTGACATACTGAGACTCTGTCTCAAAAACAAAAAAAAAGAAAAGTATCCATTTAAAGAAAAACTGAGCATAACCATGAAGGCTCAATGATGGTAGGAAAACAAGTATGGATGGAGGAAAGTTAGTGAATAACAAAGAATTCAGCATCTGCAAGTCCGGTAAAGGGGCCAGAAGGAATGAGAAACTGGGATAAATGAGAAAGGATAAGCCTATAAACAGCTTGGCAATGTGACACCTTGCCTGATAAAGCCAAAGCTGTGAACTTACAGAGTGGAAAAAAATACAGCACAAAGTATTTTTAATTATGGTGTAAGGAAAGTGGGTGATTATTTTTTTAATTTTTATTTTCTTATAATTTTAAAAGACATGTAAATTGATGGTGTGTAGTATAATACTGTACAATAATACTGCTTATTAGATCAGTATGTTAAGTCCTAACTCAATGTCATCGAGGTATTTTTGAAAACTGCAACTTTAAGGGAAATAACATATAACAAAACCAATTCCACCATAGGCTAATTGATAGAAATAAGAACTATGGCATAGTTCTGGTCACAGAAACATCACCAAACTTCTAAATAAAGACTTAAAACACTCATAATATTACACGCTAGAATAAATGTGAACTAAACATAAATTTAAGAACAATTAATACAAACAAAAGAATTACTTCAAGTGAATCAGTGAGTGACAGTGGTATGGTAGTGGCAGTGAATTAAATCAAGGAATAAATGTTTGCAAAATGAAAACTGTCAGGAGCACCTCCTACCACCATGTAACTCAAAAAGAAATCATCAGAAATACAGCAGGCTACCTGAGTGCTTTCATACCACATCATTAATTGTTCATGTGTCTGATTACCTTATACTTTATGAATTTTTATAGTAATTTGTATGCTTTTATTCATTCATTTACCCCCTTGCTTATTCCAGTTCAGAGTAGTGGGCAGCCAGAGTCTATTCTAGCAGCTTAAGGGCTCAAGCTGGGAACCACCCCGGCACAAGACGCCATCCATTGCAGGTGCACTCCCACACACCTACACACCTACACTTGCTCAGACTGTGATGATTTAGACTTGCCAATCACCCAACATGCACACCTTTGGGATGTGGGAGGAAACTGAAGTATATTGAGAAAACACATGTGTACAAGAGGAAAGCATGCAAACTCCACACAGTGGCTTTGCTGAAAAGCAATTTTTTGTCCTCATAATGAAACAATGTTAAAACGACTTTATTTAAAGATTTGTCATACTGAAATGCTACATTTCTATTCTAAAAAATTCTATTTCTTAGAATGTAATTGTTTTGATCTTTAAAATTCATCTTAAAAATCATATTCTTTTTGTAACATCATAGCCTTCCTCCAATTTTGACCCACAGATTCTATAGCAATGGAGTTTTTAAATCAATATATTAATAACAAGATCAGATTCTGCAAGAGAAGGCCAGTAAGACAGCTAATGGGTCTTCATTAAACTATGATATACTTTCCACAATCAAGGGTAGAATTTTGTAGGGTCTTCTTAAAGACCTAGGTCCTAAATATAGGTGAATAATATACTTCAAATCTGGCTCTCATAGTTCACAAATAGCCTCTAAAGATAACCAGAATTGTTATGACCAAAGACTTGCCTCAACAGAAACATTTAAATATAATCCTTCCTCATCGCTACTAAGTAATACTATCTTCCCAGATTTCCAATGATGTCTGAAACCAGCTTTTAGGTTATTTAAAGATTTTTCAGGGAGCTAGAAAGTACCATTTCTGAGACCTTATTTTTATTCTAGAATATAAAGGAGAGATATCATTTCAGAGATGACCAGAAACCTCATTATCCTGAACCCCACTAGATCTAGGAACCAAGACCAGTTATGACAGGACAGGCTGCTAGAATAACCAATTATACAGTGCCTCAGAGTTACATGCAGAAGCATGAAAGAAGCTCTAGTCAAAGCTCAATGAGTTGATTTATGGAGATGGAGAGTGCTTGACCCCATGTATTAATTCTTTTCCTTGCAAAGATCCAGAAACTCATCGCTATTATACCATCTATAATGTCTTGTTCTTCCACACATTGCCTATGTGATAGTGGTGAATAATTTTGCCTCACTGGGTTCCATTTTGTTCATCTGTGAAAACAGGAATATTCACTTCTTTGAAGATATACATGGTAAATGAGATTATGCCACATAAATGCCTACAATAAAGTATCCAATAAAAAATAAGCCTCTACCCCTCTTTCTATACTAAATGCACAAAATAATTTTTGGAAAAAACTGTTGGGTTCTTTTACATGCATAGCAATAATTTCTGAGAAAGATACTTTTACTTTGATTTGCTGAATAAAGAAGTTGAACACCTAATCAATATAAACATCTAGAGTTATTCTTTTTAAAACTTACCTTAGCTCTGTATTTTTCAACATAGGCATTAAGTTTTCCAGTTTTATAAAATGGTATCTATAACAAAAAAACCACATTTATAAAACGGACTTAACAAATACATAATTAAATAATGAAATACATAAAGATTTTAAGCACTATACAACAGAGGGAATAGAATCAGGCCATCATCCTATCAGCACCTATGCTGAGAAGTGAGGATCATGCCCTCCCTGTAGATGCATTCTCAGAGTGTGGAAACCCTTTTGGGGAGTGACTAAACCACAGAAGCCATATAAAAGGAAAAGTCCCGTAAGTTTCATGTAAGTTTTTAATACTTTTCTTAATATACAATAAATTCTTAGACATGAGTGAGGAAAACAGGCACAAATGAAGATCACATTCAAAAGGCATTAAGTGTCCCAATTCACTAATAAAGGAAATACAAATTAAAGGAAGATATTATCTTTAACCTACAGATTGACAAATATTTAAAGGCTATTATCTACAGTGTTCATGAGAGTATAAAAAAATAGTTTCTCTCATACAGTATTTCTTTTTTTAAAGACTCAGGGTCTTGCTCTGTCATCCAGGCACCACTCTATTATACAGTGGCACAGTCTATCATAGCTCAAACTCCTATGTTTAAGCAATTTTCCTACCTCAGCTTCCCTAGTATCTGGGACTACAGGTGCACCAGCACACCCAGATAATTTTTTATTTTTTACTTTAGTAGAGATGGGATTTTGCTATGTTGCCCAGGCTGGTCTTGAACTCCTGATCTCAAGTGATCCCACTGCTCTGGACTCCCAAAGCACTGAGATCACAGGGTTAAGCCACTATATCCCACTATTTGTTAAAATGTAATACAAGGCTGGGCATGTTGGCTCATGCCTATAATTTTAGCACTCAGGGTAGATGAGTTGAGTAGACTGCCTGACCTCAGGAGTTCGAGACCAGCCTAAGAGCGAGACCCTGTCTCTAAAAATAGCCCTGCCTCTAGCTACTCAGGAGGCTGAGGCAAGAGGACTGCTTGAGCCCAAGAATTTGAGGTTGCTGTGAGCCATGACCCCAGGGCACTCTATCAGGGGTGACAAAGTAAGACACTGTTTCAAAGAAAAAAAAATGTAATCTAGCATAAAATTTTCAGAGCCCAATTTAGCAGTATCCATTATAGTTTGTTTAAAATGTGTTGCAATCCACTAACACAGAAAAATGATATAATGTCAATGATGCTTTCTGAAACACTGTTAACACTAGAAACACTGGGTGCATTAGGAAGTATTAGGTATTATACAACCAGTTAAATAACTCAGAGCCTTAAAAAACAAGGAAAATAAATGTACTGACATGGAAAGATATCCATAAGAAGCTATGAAAGGGGGACTCAAAGGTTAAGTTTCAAAATCCTATGCATAATAATCTCATTTTCTGCTTAAATATTTTTGTAATATTTTTACAGAAATCTAATACTTTTGTTTTTTTTTCAGAATCTAATATTTTTGTAAGAAAACAAAACATATATTTAAAACAGATGGCTACTTTCCTGTTATTATTCTTGCCAAAATTAGGATACTTTAATTTACTAGAACTCTAAAATAATGTCCTTCTACCATAAAGATTTTCAGGTAAAAAAGGATACAAATCAGAGATATTAGTCAATTTATTCACTAACAGCTTGTCTTTTAAAAAAAATTAATATTAAGGACAAAATGATATAAGATGAACATATAACCAAGACCTAGAAAGAAAACAAAAGGAGTAAAGTTTTGGATGATTTATCATCATTGTTAACAAATATTGATTAAACTGATTTCTGGGGGATTAAAATCTTGAGAAATATTTTTTATAAAGATCTTAGAATAAGATTTTTGAAATTTCTATAATTCCTAGTTACATATAGCATTGAGAAATATGTCACTAGTACTAATTTTACTAAATATAAAAACATTTTTTAATATTTCCAAATTAAAATAAACATTAATCTTAGTTATTTAAAGACAGAGATTTATCTTTCATGGGATTAATTTAAAAAATTAAAACAGTTGGAGATTTGCTGAGTAAGAAACTTTTATCTTTTATTCTAAAGGATAAAATATGATAGAAGGTATTAAGCCCATTTAAATTATCTTAAAAAATTATGCTGTTACACCATTTTATTCTTTAATATTCTTTACCTTAGCATTTATGACAAAGAAAGTAGATTTTAACCATATCAAAGTTAATCTGTTAAATGTTTAATCAAACTATAACACATTGTTATTCATCCTTACAAACTATCTTCAATCTCTGCTACAATACCTAAATTATTATCATTTTGCTCCCAATAATTAGCAATATTTTATAAAATGTTAAAATACTAACCGCCATCACCACCCAAATTTGGTTTAATATTCCAGGCACAGGTGATGTAAGAATATCTTGATGCAGAAACAGCAATTGCCTGTGGAGATTAAATATATTACACAGTAGATTTGCCCACCATCTGTGTTTTTATTTTATTAGAACATTTAAAAATTTTGTTTAGTTAAAATTTTAAGTTTTTCTAGGCAATGATTGTGTTACAGACTTTTGTCTTTCTCCCCACACCTGCATGTTACCTTGAACACAACATTTTAATTAAGAGGATTTTAAAGTTTATACACTGATACTAATATGATAATTTGTCCCTGTCCCTGAATTTTCCAGGCTGTTTCATCTGTCAAACTAAATTCATATTTTAAGGCTCTACCTCTCTCCTAAATATAGACTTGAAGAAATCAAAGCACAATGAGGAATCCAATCCATCTCTTTTTAATTCTTTTTCTATTTTCCTCCTTGTTCTTTTTTTTTAAATGTCAGGCAGGGGTCACTGGAGGCAAGAGGCACAGGATTCACATACCAATGAAGTTACCAACTTCTTGAAAATTAGAACTATTGACTAGATCCTTTTCCTTCAAAAAGGAAATTCTTCACAAGCCAGAAAGAAGTGAGTAGTGGTTTCAATAGCCAAATAAATTTACAACAAAAATCATCATGATTCATATTACCATCAACAATTTTGTTTCAAAGTTCAGTGGAGGGCAGTGCCTGTGGCTCAAAAGAGTAGGGTGCTGGCCCCATATGCTAGAGGTGGTGGGTTCAAACCCAGCCCCCGCCAAAAACTGCAAAGTTCAGTGGAAAGATAATGAAAAATATAAACAGGAAAACAGACAGAAATCTAAAATTTTTCATCATTACTAATCATCAAAGAAATAAAATGCCCATTAGTATGTGTAAAGCCCTACTTCAGAAAGTAAGACAACCTTTTTTGGGTGGCTTCCTATCTGTTGGAAGTCAAGTGCAGCAGCCACTTTCCTTTTGCAAGGCCTGCGTTTGTCTGCCACAGGCCAGGTCTCTCTCCTCTCTCTGTTCAGGCTGTCAGTCACTGAGAGGTTGAATTAAGACAGCTCTGCTTTGTAGGCATGGCCACCTTTAATTCAAGGGAAAACAGTAGAAAACCTCCCATAAGGTGTTCTACCTATTTTAGTATTTCCAAAGGGGATCACGATTAAGTCATTGATATGTATCAAATTAGCAGGAGGGTACAGGCTCCCTGCTGCCCTTGGGTAGGAAAATATGCAACAAGGAGAAGAAAAGTTTGTAAATAAGAAGAAAATGGAGGACACCCCAAAAGCACCCCAATAAGCTATTCCTTATTTCTTATCCCTAATAATCTTGTAAGTGTTTGTTCTTCTCCAAAAATTTCAGCTAAAGATGTAGTCTTCTCATGTAATTTAAGGGACGAATACACAGAGGGTCCTCAGTAACCATGGAATTATACTTTAGGTTTCCTCTGGGCTGTTTTTCAAAGACTATCAGGGATCATCTTTATTGAGATAGATCCTGAAATAATACTCATTAGTGTCTTATACTGACTTGAAAATTAAGAACCTATACTAAAGTGTTTATGGTGTAAGTGCCTTATAAACAATAGATACTCGGTAAGTATTGATTAATTAGGATCTCTAAGTATTTGGAGCCTGATTTAACTCACTATTGTTTGTAGAAATTTTGAATTTTACAAAAGTATATAACAGGTCACAAATATAAAAACTCAACAGTGAGATAGTCTATCACAAGTATTTTAAGTCCCCTCTTAAACATAATATGATATGCCCAGTAAAAACAAAACTGACTTCCTTTATTTTGAAATTATATGTTTACATAGATTATTTTGCTTTAAAGGAAATATTTTTAAAATAGCTCTTATGGGTCTTAAAAAGTTTTAAAAGCCTTAGTTACAAGATATATATATTTTTTTACCTGCATATCTTCATTTGTATACTCCTAATCTCAGTATCTGCCAATCCATTACTCAATATTATTCTGACAGCACAGAGTTTGTGTAAATCTGGAAGTGTGATGAAGAACAGTGACGGGTGCCTAGACTCATTCATATTTTTTTATTGACTGAATGTCTCAGCAATCAGGCCTTTAAAAACAAACAGGAATAAAAAGGAAGTAAACTATGTTACCAGGAGGGTTTCAATATCAACTCAGCACATCACTGATAACTATAAGATCAGAAAAACACATTAGTTAGCAAACTTTAGCAGTTAAGTATCACTGACATTTTACCTTTAAGATATTCTAATGATTTTCTAGAATTTGAAGGTACACGTTTTATTAAGGTATAGATCACACAGAATGTAATTCACCCATTTAAAGTGTTCAATGTTTTGTACTGTATTCAGAGTTGTGCAACAATGGTTACAATACATTTTAGAAGATTTTTATCATAATCTAGAGTTTTAAACCTGCAGTTTTATAGCACAAATTAGAATAATTTGAGAATAAACAATATAAAACAACAGCTACTATTTATTAAATGCCTCCTCTGCTCTGGAACTAAACATATTTCTACCATTCTGTGTTTAATAAAAACTCTACAGTTCTTGTATGTTAAGTTTCATTTTGCTTTCAGGAAAACAAAATCTTTCTTATAACAATGATAGTTTTTTAAAAAATCAAAATGCATAGCAAAGTCTTCTGCAGTTCTAGATTATCTCTGTAAAGCAGGTTAAGGAACATTATACTCATTTTACGTGAATGAAAATGTTTACTGAGATCTCTAAGTTGTTACCTAGCTTTTGTTTCCACCAAGTTATCTCGCTTTAAAATTCTATTTGGGGCACAGTCTACAGTTGACAACTTACAGGATATACCTTTGAAGTCTGTATTATGTATTGTTACAGAAAAGAAAACTGGAATATAAAAGTAAAGCAACCTATTGAAGCTCAAGTACTATAACATGCACAAATACAACCAGAGAAATTAACCTGGACTCTCTAGTACTTTCAACTTTTTACCTTCAACATATTTTCTCATTTTAGGAAGTAATTACGCATTAGCCCAGGAATCCACAGTGTGACCAGCCTTAAGTCTGATTACAGTAAGAAAACGCCTTTGTGGGGTCAACTGAGGAATGCTGGCTTGCCCTTCTGACTCCAACCCATTTCTTTCACTCAAGCACCACAGTGTGAGATTTTCTCATCATTAGATAAACCAGTTGGTTCTTTTAAATCTGCCAAGTACTCTTATAATGGGTAACAAATTCACACAAAGTGCTAATGACTTAAACAAGATGATTCCTGGTATCATTACAAATAAAAATATTTCTTCTCTTTCTGCCTCTGTGTTGTGTGTGTGAAAAGTACAAAGTTTCAAGGCAAACACAACCTACCTTACAATTTTAATTCCCTTCACTGGAAATATTCAGCAGAGGGCATCAATAATGAACAAGCTAAAATATAAAGCAAAAGATTAGTTATGACTTGGACCCAGGACAATTGTGCATATTTAAAAAAAGGTAAAAGACATTGGTGAAAATTTGTCATTTGTTACTTTCATTTCTAAAACACATTTCCCACTAAAATTGCTTTCTGTCTCATTTTTCCTTTAAACATCTTAACGGCAGAAATCTAAATTGCAGGTCACCAAGAAATTCCTGTGAGTAGTCCTCCCCTTCTGCCAACCTTCAAAAGTCTTGCTGATCAGAAAACTGTATGTAAACAAGATTGATCTGTTCCGGGGTAAACAAGAAAAAAATTGTTTTTAACAGAATTACCTTTAAAAATTTTTTTTAGTTAATTGTCAAAACTTGTAGATTCAAAAAGAAGAGTTTTTTTTTCTTTTGCTAGATTGTATGAGAATTATCTTGTAAAGCTCAAAACCTGGGCCACATCTTACGCATGTGCGTGTTTAGAGAACCGCTCCGCTGCATTCCTGACCTGGAAGGTCCTTCCCAGGGTCAGCGGCATCTACAAAATCCTACGTTCGAGGACACAGAGAAGAAGCGCCCGCTCGTGAAGTCAGTGGACGGAACGCTGAGGACCTTTCGGCCACTCGTCTGTCCCCGCGAGCGAGCACACGCCGGAGGCCGGATTTGGGGCGGGCTGCGCGGGGCGCCCCCTCGGCCTCGCTTTCTCCCACTTTCTTGAGACAGAGTCTCACTATGTCGCCCGGGTGCGGCGCCGTGGCGGCACAGCTCACAGCAACCGCCCAGTCTTGGGCTCAAGCGACCCTCTGGCCTCGCTCTGGCCTCGCTCTGGCCCCAGCCCGCCCGCCCGGCCGCGCCTTCTCACCTGCACTAACGGTTTGAGGCCCAACTACAGACATTTCAAAAAGGCACTCTAGAATAAAATCAAACGTAATACGAATGGGGCCGACGGGCCTTCACGGCTGAATCAGTCTTTTCTGAGCCCGAAGCTGCACACAGAAGCAGCGGGGTTTAAAACGCGCGCCGCGAATTCTCCGCGCGGCCTCCCGCCCGGGCCCACCCTGCTCAGGCCGCGGAGTCGGGGTCCCGCCTGGGGGCGACCCGACCAGCCCCCTCTTCTCCCTTTCCTACTCAGGGATATAAAGTTGGAAGTTTTTTAAAAGCCGCGACCCCAGGAGGCTCGGAAGCACCGGCCTGCTCCCTCAGGGGGCGCCCTGGCCTCCCCGACACTTACCTCACGACTGGCTCCTCTGCCCTCGCGAGCCTCTCCCAGCATGCTCCAACCTGGGGCACGCCCCCAAACTCCCGGCATGCCCCGAGCTGCCTGCCGCGCCCAACCGCCTGGCAGGCCGCAAACTCCCAGGGTGCCCCAGCTCCCCGTGTCCCTCAAACTCGACAGGTGCTGCAACCTCCCGGCATGCCTTGTGCGCCCCACTTTCCTAAAAGCTTAGCTCAGCGCCCTCCTCACCGTCCTTGCTCACCACCCCAAGCCCGGCCCATTGCTCCCGGAACACTCTGCTTTCTCACCATGTCCCACATACTTGGTGTTGCTGTCCTTCTGTGCCGGGACACCGGCGTGGTGGGTCCCTCAACTCCTGCGGGCACAGCTGGAGTTTGCTCCGGAAGTCCTCAGGTAGCAACACCGGAAGCCGGTAGGCCCTCACGTGGTGCTAGCCACGTGCCACGTGCTGTGGAGGCCACGTGCCGTGACCCCTCACATACGTGTGTTTCTCCACAGGTTCTTTTGCCCATTCTTTGCGGTTCTGGAAAGTTCTTTAATGAGGTGGAATCAACATCTCCATGACTGGAATATGTTAAAGCGCAGAGATGAGCGCGAGCTTGGTGTGGCCTCGCGCCTGGCTCGGATGAACTGGCCTAGTTCATTGACGAATAAGCGTTAAGCGCCTGTCGTGTCCAGGTGCCGTCCTAGCGGGTGGCGGTAGAGGGGTGAGCAGACAGCGTCCCCCGGCCTCGTGGAACTTGTATTTTGCATGGAGTTTGGGAGATCTGTTTGGGAAAACAGATAATAAGCAAGATAAATTCACAAAATCTTAGTGTTGTAGATGGTAATAGGTGCACTGGAGAAAACCCGAGTAGGTTACGGAGCCCAGCAGTGTTGGAGAGCGGCCCTTTGGTTGAACAGTGGTCAGGGGCGCCCCATGGAGAGGGTGACATTGGGTAAGAGGTGGGGTGTCTGCGGGGGCGAGTATCACCAGACAGCAAATGGGAACACAAGGGTCGGAGGCCGGAGGGTGACTACTGGCTGCAGCACAGCAGGAGGAAAGTAGCGACAGGAAGCCAGAGGGATGAAAGGGGGGCAGACCATCTTAGGCCGGGAAGTCCTGTGCGTTTTCTGGGTGCACACAGGCTGCTGTCCTGAGAATGGACTGAAGGGGACAGGGAGAGGACGAAGGGCAGTTAGGAAGCAGCGGCCGTGATCCAGGAGGGTGGTGCTGCAGCTCGGGGCAGGGCAGGGGCTGCAGAGGTGATGGGATGGGATTGCAGCCTGGATATACAGTAGCCTGAAATTAGATTTAACAGGATTTGATATATTAATAAACTAATAGATTGATGTAGAAGAGTAAAGCATGACACCAAATCTTTTGTACTAGGCACTCCGAAGGATGGGGTTGCCATTAACTAAAAAGGGGAAGACTGTGAGAGAAACAAATTTGTGGATGAAGATAAGAAGAAATTCATGTCAAGTTTGGGGGTGTTGACACCAAGAAATGAAGAGGAAGGGTAGGGCTTTGTTCCGGGAGGACTTCTGGGGAAAGATCTGCATGTAATAGGTGTTATTTCAAAACTGAGACCAGATTGGATCACCAAGAGCATGCATACGGAAAGAAAAGAAACCCTCACACTGAATCCTGGGACACTCGGTCATAGTAAGGGTCAGAGTTATGAGGTGGAATCTCAGGAGAGCAAGATCAGGAAATTTTCATTATGTAAGATTTGGTACTTTGAAATATTCTGTCTTACCAGGTTTCAGAAATTATACTGTAAAAGAATGAGATTTTGTTTTTTTGTTTAATATCTAATCTATTAGAATCATTCACTTATTTTATTTGCAAAATGAATTGTGGCAAAAAGGAATGTTTTTGGATATTCTCTATTTACATGTTACTTGGCTTTATATGACCACAGCTGTGAGATCATAGTAAGTGATTAATTATCAAAGGTTAGTGAGCAAAATCAGCCTCCTATAATGTACATAGTTTGTATTAATTGGACAAAACACAATCTTCTGAAACATTCTAACAAATATAGTACCCTCAATGACTAAGAAAATGCCGTGAAGGCTGTTGACCAGTTTGATGAAAGCATTTCAAATTGTATGTAAAACCAGCACATTGTACCCCATGATTGCATTAACGTATACAGCTATGATTTAATAAAAAAATGCAAATATAATGTCCTAAATTTAACATTTATCCTTTGAAGGTTTTATGTCAGAGTCCTTGGAATTAATAAAACAAACCTTTCAAGAAACAGAAAACCTCTTTGTCCTACTTGGTACACACACAGGGGCAGAGGGCTCTGTTTTATGAACAAAGTAAAAGGTAAATACAGGTTCAACTTAAATTTTATGATAACTACGGTATTCTTTAGCCTTTCTTACCTATTTAAACAAAGTCAAATGATCTTCATTCTGAAAAGCACATGTATCAAAACTGT